GTAAAAGTATTCACCTCTTTCTTTTTTTAAAAAAAATGTACTTTTATTGATTTCAGAAAGGAAGGAAGAGGGAGAGGAGATAGAAACATCAATGATGAGAGAGAATCATTGATCAGCTGCCTCCTGCAAGCCCCCCACTGGGATCTAGCCCTCAGCCCGGGCATGTGCCCTTGACCGGAATCGAACCTGGGACCTTTCAGTTCGCAAGCCGACGCTCTATCCGGTTAGGGCAAGTACTCACCTCTTTATGAGGAGGATTCTTTTTTTCTACAAGGCTGATTGTGTAAGGATTCATAAAAGTGCTTTGGAAAAGACTCTGCAGTTGTTTAGCCTTACATTTTTTCATTTTAAAATACAGCATAATGTTTAGGCCTAGGGAGGCCTGGAGAGTCCCATCCTCCAGAGCTACCTCCCCTGCCTCCCCTTCATCAAGACCCTCAGTCTCTGGGGATCTTGACTTTTGTTCCTCGACCCTTACAGGATTTGAAGATAGTGTATTTCTATATGATTGCTTTCCTCTGTGATCCTATTTTATTTTATGCATTTAAAAATATTACTTAGAGAAGGGTACATAGGCGTTATCGCCCTGCCAAAGAGGTCCAAAGGTTGGTTAAGAATTAACCAAACTTCAACCCGCCCATCAGTGAACGTTCATGCAGTGTTGACACGTGAGTGGTTTGGGCAGAAACTGACATGAGCAGGACATAGCTCTTTCTCATGTCAGTGTGCCCAACTCCTAGCTGATTCCCAGTACTGCAGGGTAAGGCTGTCATCCTTGCTGAACTGTAGGCACTCTAGGTGCCCCTCAGGGGCTACCTGCTGCTCTTACTCCAGCTTGCTGGTGCCAGCCAGCAGTGCTTCCTCACCAGGCCGGGACCCAGGGTCTGCCCTGCGGGTCTTTCAGGGGTACCTAGGCTTGGAAGGTGGTTCTGGAGAGCTTCTCCCTGGGGGTGGTAGAGATACCATAGCTCTGCTGTGAGTGCTTGAATGTGTGCCTTTGTGGGATGGGGGTGTGGGGACGGTGGGGGTTACAGGACACTCAAGACCATAGTAAGACTTTGGGGCTTTTGTGTAAGAGAGAAAAGTTTATAAGATAATGCTAGCAACTCTTGTGATCCCCTCCTGGAGGCCGGACACTGGTGTTTAGATGCTTTGTGGGAGGCTGAACCTTGACAGCATCCTTCCTATTAGTGTTCATCAGAAGGGATCTTTGTGAACTTAAATGCATATATGCATAGCCCACGGACACAGTAGTGCAATGAAGGCCTGAGATGGGGCAGGGACTGGGTGGAGGGAGGCAAAAGAGGAAATGGGGGACATCTGTAATGCTGTCAATAAAAACGGGGGATCTTATATGTCACAACAGCATATAATCTACCATCATACTTCCCCTTCCAAGCAGATCTTAACAATACAGTAGTTCCTAAAGTGGGAAATACACAAAATAAGAGACAGCACCATTTTAGAGCTAGTCCCTCCACCCCCCACCTCCCTCTTTGTGTTGGCAAATGTATATTTTAAGACAGAGCTGCATGTATGGAGTTCTCCTTAAGTCAGGAAATCGAGAGACACACTGTGGAGGGGAATGGAGTGTTTAATGCTGTCGGAGTGAACGTGCTGGGCCTATGTGTGGGGTGGGTGCTCACCCAGCAAAGCCGATACCTGGCAGCCAGAGCGACCATGCTTCATCCGCGTTCAGAAGCACCTTCTGTAGATGAAGAAAGGCCCATGTTCCTCATACTCGAAGCGGTGGACCCACAGTGGCTGGAAGCCATGGAGCGACGCCAGGATGGAGCCACCCGTCCACACTGCAGTCTCTCTCTCGGGCAACACGTTTACCTGGGGGGTGTCATTGGGACACAAGCTGCTCAGCTCCCTCTGCAGACGGTTAGGGAAACCCCTGAGCATAGTGCTCCCCCCGCAGAGCAGGATATTCCCCATGAGGTCCCGTTTGAGGGCGATGTCGCACTTGTTCAGGCAGGACACCGTCTGGGTGTGGAGGCCCAGCTGCATGGACCTGATCAGGGAAGGCTTGAAGAACATCTCGGAGCAGAGGAACCTTTCCTGGCCCAGGTATATCTGCTGCCCATCCGGCAGGGTGTACGGGATCATATGCTTCGCCTCTGGGACTCTCTTCTCTTCGATGGGGTCCAGGGCCACAAAGCAGCATTTCTTCTTGATGTCCTCCACGATGCCCTTCTGGGCCTCGGTGAAGTGTTTTCCCGAACTGTTCATCAGGCCCATCAAGTAGTTTGTCAGATCAGAGCCCGAATAGTCCAGCCGCCCCGTGATGCTGGGCAGAGGATAACCTTCGTAGATGGGGACCACGTAGGACACGCCATGGCCCACCTCCACGACCAGGCCGGAGGTCCTTCCATAGGAGTACATGGACAGGCGGGACTGGTAGGCGATGTGCATCGCAGGAGTGCTGAAGGTCTCAAACAGCATCTCGGCATACTTCTCTCGGTTGGTGTGTGGGCTCAGCGGTGGGTCTGAAACCAGGACCGCGTGCTCCTCTGGGGCGATCTTCATCTCTTTCTGGAAGATGTATTCCCAGATGCCCTGCACCGAGTCCCAGTCCACGATAACGCCGTGCCGCAGGGGATTCACCAGCTTGAGACGAACCTCCGGGTTGATGAGCTCCTGCCCCACGAAGGTCTCCTTGCGTTTGTCCCCAGTCTTGGTGGTCTCCATGTAGGGCTTGCCCACTGTCGAGGAGATCTTGTGGGTGGGCCTTTGCAGCCCGGCGAAGCCGCACTTACAGTAGCCAGTGCCGAGGTCCACAACCACCGCTTTGGTCACCTTTACCTGGGGCTTCTCCCTGGCTTCTGCTGATTTCGTAGGCTCGCCTGGCTCCAAGCGGTTCCGGTGGACCCACACCGCACGCTTCGCTGGACCACATTTTAGGGAGGCCGTCTGGAGGGCCTCTGTGTTCAGGGAGGCCTGTTCGCCCTTCCCCTTGCCAGGCCCATCCCCTATGATCCCTGCCTGCGGAGCCCACAGGCGAGCAAGAGCCATCTCGCTCTCAGAAAGTTCCTTGATCCCACAGGCTTCAAGGTCAGAAAGGCTGAAATCAGAGGGCAACTTGAGAATGTCCCCAATGATGACATCACCGATTATGACATAACTAGTGACCTGGGGCTTTCTAGATACTGGAAAACTTTATCCCAAAGCAGGGTTGATTTGGGTAGTGTTTTATGGAGATTTACCCTTTTCTCGATTTTGTACTACACCGGAGTCATCCAGTCAGTATTTATTGAATGCTTGCTGTGTTCAGGCAGCTGAAAATACAAGGCAGAGTAAGAAAAAGAAAATTCTCTGCCCTTTTAGAGCTTATATGCTAATCAGTGGGAGTTGTGGAGACACAGACAATAAGCAAATTATATATATAAAATAAAGGTCCTGTTTATTAACATACATTTCATTTTCAAAATTGAACTACCAACCGTTAAAGTGTGTCTACATTTTGGGGGGACACTATATATGTAAGTATATGTATATGAAGATGTTAAGGGCAAAAGAGAAAAACAAAGCAGGGAAAGGGGGTGGGGAGGGTGGCTGTGTTGTGTCTGGGCAGGGCTCCCTGAAAATGACTGAGCCCTGAAGACCTGCAGGAAGTGAGGGAGAATGCTGTGTGCATATCCGAGTGGCAGATGTAGAGGACTGGAAGCAGACGTGTGTCTGATGCGTTAGAGCAGGGGTCAGCAAACGGGCCTGCAGCCTTTCTTTGTAAATTTTTATTGGAGCACAGCCACTTGTCTATGGCTGTGTTTGTTGAGTCATGGCAACAAAGACTGCAATGGCTTGAAAAGTAGAAAGTAAATATTGACCACCTGGCCCTTTACAGAAAAAGCTTGTCAGCCCCCAAGTTAGAAGATCCCAAAAAGATGTGTGGCTGGAGTGGAAAGAGTGAGGAACTGTACATGAGATGGAGGAACTAGGGCGGTAGGGAGGGCCAGCAGCTCACATTGGGCCTCATGGGCCAGTGCTAGGACTTTGGCTCTGGTTCTGCATGAGGTCAGAAAACACTAGAGAATTTTGAGCAGGGAGTTGACACCATCTGACTTAGATTTTAGCAGAAATAATTGCTGTTGTGGTGATTGTACCAAGAGCTTATGTCTCATATGTTCCATGGGACAATCTGCAGAGGAATAATTTTTGTACACATATTTGTACACATATTTATCCTTCATGAGGGTCTTTGGTTCAGCAATGAAATTTGACCCTACAGAGTCCCACTGATGACAACATTGAGGCTCTTAGGTGTGTAATTCACCCAAGGATGGTCCAGCCAGCCGTGGCCAAGCTCCTAACTACGACTTCTTCCCAGGAGTGTGCTGTGGACACATCTTGATGGGACCCGACATAGGTCTCCCATGCCATCTCTGAAGCTGGGCATGTTGGTGCTGCCACCTGCCACCCTCAAGGTACCCAGAATCTAACCTTATGTTGTGCAGCCACATGCTTTTCATAAAAATAGAGGCTGTCTTTACAGTGGTGGGCTTTCTCCTTTAAGATGGTTACTGGGGTGTTCTTGGCTCTTTGTGGGCTGTGTGTGAAGAAAAGGACCAAGTCCAGTCTTATGAGCTTATGACTACCTGATGGAGGTGACTAAACTGTCATCTCAGAAACAAAATCTCGGCTTCTTAGTTCATTGAGTAGAGGGTGTAAGCATAGAATTTTGAAAGGATAGGAAAGTGCTTTTCTGAATGCCTGGCTACCTGAAAAATAGTTTACTTGCTTCTGCTATTCAGGGATTTCCATGGCCAACTTGGATTGTTTGACTTTATTTCAGAAGAACTTGCATGATAAAGCATGTTTAACCTAGAACAGCCGTGGGCAAACTACGGCCTGCGGCCCGATCCGGCCGTTTGAAATGAATAAAACTAAAAAAAAAACAAAAACCGTGCCCTTTTGTGTAATGATGTTTACTTTGAATTTATATTAGTTCACACAAACACTCCATCCATGCTTTTGTTCCGGCCCTCTGGTCCAGTTTAAGAACCCATTGTGGCCCTCGAGTCAAAAAGTTTGCCCACCCCTGACCTAGAATGATCTGTTTTCCTTCTCCTCAATCCCCCTTTTGAATTTTGAGAAATCTGTAGCTGCTTAGCACATTTCACTGTCCTGGGTTTCTGGTGGGGCCTCTATTGCTGCTGTAATGAATGATCACAAATTTAATGGCTTGAAACACAAATTTATTATCTTATAATTCTGAGATAAAGGTCACAAGTCCACAGTTAGTCTTAGTGGGATAAAACCAAGGTGTGGGCAAAGCCCTGTTCCTCTGGAGGCTCTAGGGGCTCATTTATTTCCTTGTGACCCCTTCATCTTCAAAGACTTCTCTGACTTCTGCTTCTTTGTCACATCTTCTCCGACCTGACCTGACCCTCCTGTCTTTATCTTATTAAGATCTTTGTGATTCCTTTGAGCCCACCTGGGTACTCCAGGGTAGTTAACCTCCCCATCTCAAATCCCTTAACTCACATCTTCAAAGTCCTCTTTGCCGTGAAAGGTAACATACATAGTCACAGGTTCCAGGGATTAAGGATGTGGACATTTGGGGAGGGGGGGGAGCCATTATTCTTTCTTCCTCACTCTTCACATCTGATCTGATAATCTAATGTAATGCAGTTGTGAGGCTAGAGATGGCACAGGAGCCGACCAGAAACTAGGCCTCAAATGATAGAGTAAGAGCTTGGATTGAATTGAGGATAGTTGGGGAACCAACCAGTTAGATTCTACCTTCTAAATGTTTCTAGAACCTGTCCCTTGTTCTCTTCCACGTTATCACAGCCCTAGTTTAGGCCACCTTCGAGTCTTACGAGAATTTCTTCAATTCTCTTTTCAGGTCTCAGAGTTTTGCACCTTTATTTTATCGCTGAACACAGATCTTTCTAAAATTATCTAGAAGTTAAATCTGACCACTCCTCTGCTTGGAGTCTTTCTAGTTTCCAGCTGTCTTCAATGCAATCCAAGCTCCTATTCCTAGCATTTGGCCCTCCCTGGTTGGCTCCATGACCCCGCTAGCTTCATCCATTTTTCCAAACACCTGAACTACAGGCAGTTCCCCACCATGACCCCCTCTGAGCCTTTGCTCAGTCTGTCCTCTCTGCTGGGGATGCCTTTCCCTCCTCTTAACTACCTGACAGATACCCACGTATCTTCCAGAACTCGACCTAAGCATCACCTCTAGGGAACCTTCTGACTGCCCCCCTCCCATGAGTGCTCCCCTCTGTGCACCTCTGCTCTCCCAATGGACTTTCACCTGCAAACTCCTCTGCATCCATTCCATCTTCCCACCTTGACTGGGCTCTGGTTGTGGCTGAATTCCTCTGTCACCAGCAGACTGTATGGGCTGGACCCACCACAACCCCTTTAAATGTTGGAGGAATGAAAGTGCTGTCGGGGCCCTCACACTCTAGGAGACTTGGTGCATTGAAGTTGCATGAACTTGGGTTAAAGTACAAACACTCCAAGAGCTGTCTGTTCATGGGCAAGTCATTGGAGTTCTGAGCCTCGATTTCCTCAGCTCTGCCTACCTCGTGGGATTCTGTGAAATAACGTGTGTCTGGTGCAGTGCCTGGCTTACTGTAAGGGCTCAAATATGCATCACCCTTGCAGCCAAGAAGCAGAGGAAGCAAAGGTGTCCAGTCAGTGAGTAGGAGAATAGGAACAGGGAAGTAAGGGAGTAGGAGCAGAAACCTCTGAGACCCCAGTGTGCTAGTGGCCACTTAGTGTGTCCTGAGCAAAGTCAAGTTAGGCAGATGGGGTGGGATGGCAGATCATGGGTGCCAAGGCCAAGCCTCCCCTGACAGCTGGAATGGACCGGCCTCCAGTGACATCACAATCCTGAGTGGCCGCTGAGGCACTGCTGGAGGTGGACCCTCATTTCTCTCCACTGAGCTCTAGGATGTGGAAGTGAGAAAGGTGAGCAAGGAAGGCAGATGGCAACGAGGAACAGCTCAAGCCCCATGCCCACGGGCACGGCTCAGGGTGACCCTGGAGAGGCAGGAACACTGTCAGCTCCAGATACTGGCATTCGGGACAGTTCAGCCACTCAGCTGAAGACGAAGCCCAAGTATGTGCGCAGGGTCAAGGCGCTCATCATCGACCTGGGCTCGCAGTACTGTAAGTGTGGCTACGCAGGAGAGCCGAGGCCCACCTACTTCATCTCCTCCACAGTGGGCAAGTGCTGCTCCCAGATGGGCGACACCCGCAAGAATACCTATGTGGGCCACGAGCTGCTCAACATGGAGGCACTGCTGAAGCTGGTTAACCCTCTAAAGTACGGCGTTGTGGTGGACTGGGACTGCGTCCAGAGCATCTGGGAGTACATCTTCTACACGGCCATGAGGATCCTCCCCGAGGAGCATGCCGTGCTGGTCTCCGACCCCCCGCTCAGCCCCAGCAGCAACCGGGAGAAGTATGCGGAGCTCTTGTTCGAGACCTTTGGCATCCCCGCCATGCATGTGACATCCCAGTCGCTGCTGTCCATCTACTCCTATGGCAGGACCACAGGAATGGTGGTGGAGAGCGGGCACGGCGTCTCACACGTGGTCCCCATCTCAGAGGGCAACGTGCTGCCGGGCCTGGTAGGCCGCGCAGACTACGCCGGGGGTGACCTCACCAACTACCTGCTGCAGCTGCTCAACGAGGTGGGCCACAAGTTCACGGACGACCACCTGCACATCGTAGAGCACATCAAAAAGACGTGCTGCTACTCGGCCTTGCAGCCCGAGAAGGAGGTCTGCCTGGCCCTGGAGGAGCTGCGCGTGGACTACGAGCTCCCCGATGGCAAGGTCATCACCATTGGCCATGAGCGCTTCCAGTGTGCTGAGATGCTCTTCAAGCCCACGCTGGTGGGCAGCAGCCTGCCCGGCCTCCCCGCGCTCACAGCCACTTGCCTGGGCCACTGCCAGGAGGCGGGCTTGAAGGAGGAGATGGCCGCCAACGTGCTGCTGTGTGGCGGCTGCACCATGCTGGACGGCTTCCCCGAGCGCTTCCAGAGGGAGCTGAGCCTCCTGTGCCCCGGGGACAGCCCCACCGTGGCTGCGGCTCCTGAGAGGAAGAGCTCTGTGTGGACGGGTGGCTCCATCCTGGCCTCCCTGCAGGCCTTCCAGCAGCTCTGGGTCAGCAAGGAAGAGTTTGAGGAGCGGGGCAGTGCAGCCATCTACACCAAGTGCTGAGCGCGGCCCGCCAGGCCAGGCCTCGTGGGCAGGCGACCTGAGGCCACTCCATACATTTACAGAGTTTCACATAAACATTTAACACAACGGCTCTTGTCCAGTCTGGGTTTCTTGCTTTAGTCTGATAACAGGAGGTGATGGGGAGTTGGGTTTAGAGGTAGCAGCACCTTTTGCTCTGCTGGGTGGGGAGCAGCAGGGATGGGAGGCCCCTCTCCTCATGAGGGTGACATCATCTCAGAGCCCCAACTATGGCTTCCTGTTCCATTAGCTCCTCAGGGTTCAAAACCCAATTCAGCAGACACATGGCTTGCTCATCTGTCCAGGGACCACGTGGGACATGAAGGCTTGGATTAAGGGACTAGTTTGGGTTATGTAAAGTGGTGGGGGGACACTCATAAGCAGGTGTTGGCTTCATCTCCTGTCACCTGCCCATAGCTGCATCATTGCTTGATTGCCCCAGGCCCCCTCCCTGCCCTCCCCTCACTGCCTGCCCTCTTCAGAGGTGCAGCCCATAGGTGTGCATCTCCTGAGTGGGAGGGGCCATTTCTACCCGTCCGCCTTCCAACTTCAGCCAGAATTGCAGCTGTTTCTGCAGTGACTGAATCCAGATGTCAGAGGAACCAGAGAGTCCTTTGGAAATCACGTGGTTCTCTCCCTCCAGTAGAGGTGAGGAAACAGGACCGGGAGGATGGGGGCCGTGGCAGTGGATGAGTCCAGGTCTCCTGACCCAGGGCGTAATTATTTCCAGAAGGGCAAACACAGTTACTTTAGTTTGGGCTGCTATAAAAAAAAAAAATAGCACAGACCAGGTGGCTTATAAACAGTAGAAATTTATTTCTTATAATTTTGGAGACTGGAAGTCTAAGATTAGGGTGCCAGAATGGCAGGGTTTTGGTGAAGGCCCTCTTCTGGGTTGCAGACTGCTGACATCTTGCTGTGTTCTCACATGGTGGAAGGGATGAGGGATATCTCTGGGGCCTCTTCAGCACTAATCCCATTCCTGAGGGCTCCACTCTCATGACCTAATCACCCCCCCCCCCCCAAAGGCCTCACCTAATACCATCACCTGGGCATTGGGTTTTCAACATATGAATTTGGGGGGAGGAAGTGGGAGACACACATTCAACCTATAGCAATGATTTCTTTTTAAAAATATATTTTTATTGATTTCAGAGAAGAAGGGAGAGGAAGAGATAGAAACATCAATGATGGGAAAGAATCATTGATCGGCTGCTTCCTGTATGTCCCCTACTGAGGATCGAGCACACAACCTGGGCATGTGCCCCGACTGGGAATCAAACCGTGACCTCCTGGTTCATAGGTCTACGCTCAACCACTGGACCACACCAGTCAAGCTAGCAATGATTCTTAATGATTAGTCATCATTAAGCACTTACCAAGCATCTACTATGGCTGAGGCTCAGAGCTGGAGACCAAGAAATGACCAGAATGTGGCCCTCCCCTTGGGATCACTCAGACCCAGCCAGTAGGGATTCGGTGGACAGCACATTGGTAAGGAGACGAGGCCTGAGCTCAGTGTTCTTGGGGTGGGAAGGTGGAGGTGGTGTGTTGGAAAGCTGTAAATGGAGAAGTGCTAGACGTGGTGGCCAGTTAGTGACTTTGGGGCAGAGGGAAAAGTTTCCGAGTCTTGTGAGATTTCAGCTGATGATTGACTATCTACCACCCTCACCTCCTGATGGAGCCTGTGACCAGGGGCCCATCACCAGATGTCCATGGGAATCACACATTGGTGAGCTGTGTGACCTGATGGGCTACCAAATGTCTCTGAGCCACCTCTGACCTTAGACCTGCTTGGGGGCACTCTGAGGTGCCCTGTACTGGGGGCTGCAGGCTTGGGAAAGAACCAGACACAGTCTTAAACGCCTAGCCCAGTGGTCGGCAAACTGCGGCTCGTGAGCCACATGCGGCTCTTTGGCCCCTTGAGTGTGGCTCTTCCACAAAATACCACGTGCGGGCGTGCATGTACAGTGTGATTGAAACTTTGTGGTCCATGCACAGAAGTCGGTATTTTGTGGAAGAGCCACACTCAAGGGGCCAAAGAGCCGCATGTGGCTCACGAGCTGCTGTTTGCTGACCACTGACCTAGCCCATTGCCCAGAATTGGGCTTCTAAACTGGAGTCTGAGATCCCCTGGGCTGGCAGGAACTTGGGCTCTTTCCAGTAGAGAGGGGTGCAGACTGGAGGCCTTCAGGCTGATGGTGCCAGTAGACATCTTGTTTGGCCAGCATAGCATATAAGTTTTTTTCTTGAATGCAATTTTTTTTCAGGGGGGCCTACTCCTTCAGGTTGCCAAAGTCTCTACTACCCCAATGTCTTCATATATACTTGGGGCTTCAGCCTCATTTGCTTAATTAGGCAGCATTCATTCTATTGGTTGCAACCTAAGAACCGCTGAGCAGTACTAATCCTAAAAACCTGATGAGGTACAGACAGGGAAACAGAGGTTTATTGAGGGGAAAGGGATGTGCCCCAAATCACACAGGCAGAAAGAGCTGCAGGTAAACCCTCTTCCACACGCTGGGCTTGAAGAGGCGGTGCTGGCACAGGGTAGTGTAGGGAGCCTATGAAGACCAGGTATGAACCTTGCCTGCGACCCTCTGTCCCGCCCCTAAACCTCGAGACATGCTCAGGCCCAGCTAACATTCCCCAGGTGGAACCTACCGTTCCTGCCTCCATTTCCCCTCATTCCTTCCCGGCAACTCCCAGTGTCTTTATGGGCATCAGATGTGGTCCAGGGCTGACTGCCACGTGAGGAGCATGTGACTTAAGCTAAGCCAATCAGAGCAGCCCATCTGTTGGCCACATGATTGGCTGGGGGTGAACATGTGACTTCAGTGCGCCGGTGCAGAGGAAATCCCAGGCTTTTTACTTGGAAGGTGGACGTAAGATTGGGGCGTGTGGCCTCTCACTGTTGCAACCACATTTGGTACCAGGACGGGAGCCAGCTGGAAGCTGACCCACCAAGGGGTGTAAAACTCAGCCGGTACCCTGACGACAGTGACGACAGGGACCTCGGAGTGAAACCGCGCTAGGGCGCCCTCTCCTGTCAGACCTTGTGTTTCCGCCAGTCCTCGCCTTCACCCTCATGGCTCACCACGTAAGTGTGAGTCCGCCGCTTGCAGCTGAGCACTTTGTAACTGCGTCTGTTTCTTTCTCAACAATGGTATTCCACCCGAGCAGTTTCCGATGCAGAGGGACCAGGCTTGGAGAGGCCTCTTAATTGAAATATTAAGGCCAACATTTCATTTATTTCTCAACAAGAAAGCTACTACACATGACGAATTTTTATCAAGGTATTAGAGAGTGTCAGATATCACACTAACGCTCAAGTACAGAAACCTAGCTAAGAGGTGGTCCTGTTCTCTTGTTTAGATATTTGTTCCGGAGGTTGGACTTGGAGCCTCTTAAGGGCAGGAGCTTTGATTTCCTTGTCTTAGCCTTCTTCGTTTCCAGTGCAGACCCTGGCACAGGGTTGGATGCTTAGTGCCCAGTGCAGACCCTGGCACAGGGTTGGATGCTTAGTGCATGCCAACTGAAACCACCTACTCCCAATCTGTGAGGCGGAAGTCACAGTGTTTTCTCCCATCTATATGTACAAAAGCCTAATATGCAAAGTGTCCCCTCAGGAGTTTGATCGCTCGCTATGACGTGTGCTGACCACCAGGGGGCCTCTAGTATTACAGATGAGGAAACCGAGGTCTGCAGAGGTTAAGAATCTTGTCCATGTTCACCCACCTGGGAAACCAGTCTTGTGCTAAATCAGAGTTTTGTGATTCCAAAATGCCTCTTTGCCCTTGTTGCCTCTCTTTCTGAAAATTAGCGATCTCTTTTACAAGAAAAAAAAAAAGACGTAAAAAATGCTTTCAAGTCATGAATAACAAGTATGATGTAACTTCATAATCAGCCCGAGGTATGAAAGTTAAGAATGCCAGTGTTTTAGCAAAGGAGAGACTTATCTTGCGCCAGATTTCCAGACACATAAGTAAGCAAGTATTAGGGTGACCTTTTGGTGACGTTCTACCATTTGGATATGGCAGGAGGCCCGTTGTCCTCACTGCCTCTTTGGACAGCCTGATTTCTCTCCCCCAAGTGTTTATTTACCAAGTTTTCTCTAAGAGTTATCTGCATAAAGTGGGCTTAAGCAACTAATGAATTAGTTTAATCACAATACCAACTAGTAATGGTGTTCTATTTGATGAAAGGTGCTGCTTTTTTTTTTTTTTTTTTTTTTTTTTTAATATTCTACATTTTCTTGGAATGTAATGGTTCCTAACCAGTGGGAAGAGGGGAGTGTGGGGTATTGGTTATGCTGTGGCTAGTTCTTAATAGCTCGTGAGAGCCTGCTTTTAATATTCAGGAATCTTGCAAGCCAATTGTTAAACCATGTTATAGCTTGACATTGGCCATGGTGGGAGTATTTACCCCCACAGAAACCAGCAAGAATTACAAATCATGTCCCCCTAACCCTGAGAATTTGTTTAAAGGGGGAACAGGGGAGATGGAGAAAAATGATGGGCAACAGAATCATCCAGGAGCTATTTCAAAACCCAACCCAACCCATGTGTACCTTCTCCCCAGAGGGAATCAGTAGACTGGGAAGCACCGAGGACTGCGATTGGTGAGTTCCCCAGGTGGTTCTTATAGACGCTGTAGTGAAGAAGCGGCTCAGAAGAGTGCTGGCGCGTACTGAGCTCTGTGTGTGTGTTCAGAGTGAGCCAGAAGCCGCGGCATCGTGTGGGACAAGCCGTGGCATCGTGTGGGACAAGCCGCGGCACTGAGGCTAAGCGGCTGCTCCTTTGGGTCAGAATGTCTGTCACTGCCTATCTCAGCTCCACTCATCCTTCAAGGCGCCGTTGCACAGCTGCGGCTTTGCACGGCTTTGCCTTGGCTGTCATTGCCCACCCCCCTTGGTGGGAAGGACGGAGACTGTGTCTTTCCCTCTTCCTGTTCCTGGGCAAGCTTGGACGCGGCACTGAGCAGGTGCCCGAGGCAGGGATGCTGCGTTTGTTGTTCCTAGGCTTCTTGCTTTTATGTCCTAGTTCTTGCCTTTTTGTTGTTCTTTCTTCCCAGAATTCGGCAGGATCCCTGGTTCTTAACCCTTCAACCCTGGCTGCCAGTCAGACTCACCTGGGAGCTTTAAAAAAATCCTGATGCCCAAGCTCACTCCCAATCAAATCAGAATGTCTGGGGGGGGGGGGGGCGCGAGATGGGAGCACCAGTGATTCTGATATGCCCCTCAGGTGAGACCCGCTGCTGGGGGAAGCCTCAGGGCCCTTCATCATGTTTCATTTTCACGGTCAGGAATGCCAAACAGCCACTAGGCAGTGCTCAGTGTAGAACAGTGTTCTTTTCCCGAGGTAGAGCTCTAGAATCTGCCCATGTTCTGAGCCTTTAGTGTTCCAGAGGCCATGACACTGCATCTGAAAGAAGTTCTAGCCCTCTGGGCTGCTTCTGCATGTGCACAAGTATGTAAAATAACAATTAGGAACCAAGTGAGTCACAGAAGAAGCAATAGAACTCTGCTTCATGAGTTCTGGGAAAGTTAGGCAAGAAAACGGTGCTTTAAGGATGCCTCTTGGGTAATTGCATAGAGACTGAGCGTTACCTCCCTGGTTTCAGACAGGAAGTGTCCACAGAGAAAACCATGAGAACCAGAAATGGATCAACAAGATCTTGACTCCAGACCCAAGGCTTGAGAACACCCCTCCCACTTTTTTCTGGCCAAATAAGTGGATATAGAGTTGAATTCAACCAAGTCCCCTTTGTTTGTTCACTAAAACAAAGGCAGCTTGGGACATTTCTGTGGCTCTAAGCACTTTCTATCTTCTTGAGGGGACCAGGCCTCTACCCTCACCGGGGGGGGGGGGGGTGTGTGCATACAGACATACATACATGTACACACACCACAGAGCCAGCAGTCTGTTTAGAGCAGTGGTCGGCAAACTGCGGCTCGCGAGCCACATGCGGTCTTTGGCCCCTTGAGTGTGGCTCTTCCACAAAATACCGACTTCTGCGCATGGGCCACGGAGTTTCAATCGCACTGTACATGCGTGCCTG